TATTCTGATAAGGCCCTGTACACTCAGCTCTGCTTCTACCGATACATTTTTGATGTGGACTATGCGATGGATAAAGTGATTTCTGAAGAAGATAAAGGTATGTTTAAATTTTTAATTAATTAACTGTGGTTTAGTAGCAATTTGCATCGTGCTAGACACTAGACCTACTGTACTCCTCAAATCTGAAGGCTCTATGAGGCTGTAATCTAAAATAGAAAATAGAAATATGAATTTAAGAATCCCCTGTAAAGGGGAATGTGTTCAGTCAGAGTTCACCATTTTAAGAATGTATTATATGCCCCCTTTCTTGTTTTGAAGTGACTTTGTTTTGGAAAATGTACTTTTCTTACATGTTAGACCCTTAGAGAAATCGTTTTGCTTGACGTACACGTTAGCTTCAGTAAATAGATTAATTAAAATATATACATAATTAAAATTTACATTCAACTGCTAGTATTGAAGAAAGACACTTTTTATCAGGGAGAAAAATGAGGGCACAAGAAAAGGAGTAATGCTAATTGTCTACAAAAATCTCTTAAATAAAATACAGATTAACTTTATCTTAGGAAAATTTTTTTGTCTTCTCCCAATGGCCATAACATTTCTGAACTAAAACATTTCTAAGCTGCAACTGATCAACGGGTTTTGTGCAGCTCAGTGATTCTCAAGCTGACAGAAGAATATTTCTGAGAGTGGGCTGATGCTTGGAATTCTGAAAAAAGACATGTTTGGGTCCCACCACTGGAGCATGTTGTCCACAGAGAGTACTTGGTTGTGTCCTCTGTGGATCTGGAGGTGCCTGTGAGGAAAAGGTGCTGCTGTTGGGACTGTCTGATGGCTGCTCTGCTGTCAAAATTACCCCCATCCCTGCCCTGCATCTGCAGTTAAGTTACTGGGTGGTGATATATAAAACTCAGTCTTTCTAAATGTTATTTTGATAAGCCACATATGGAAATGAAAACAGTGTAACCTCTTAGCTAAAAACTGCTCAAAAGTTAAGCAAACAGTCTGCTTTGGGCCTGTAGTACTTACATTTCTTCTTGCAGAGGTTCTCTTCTCCTAATCACTCTAAGTCAGTGAACTCACTCTGATGCTTGCAATTCACAGTGGCTTTATACATCCAAAGAAGTGACAGTGCATAGCCATGTCAGTCTCATACATCTCTGGAGAGATGTATGGAGAGTTAGGGAGAGGATGCTACTGGCTGCAATCAAACTGTGTATAGATCTCTCACCTAGTATAAGGGCATAAGAGTAGAAAACGCTTCATGGGTGATCACATCCAATCTCTTGCTACAGCATTCCACTGCATTTTTCAAGACTGCAAGTTTCTGGAACTTCATTTGGAAACTGTGACTTGTGGTTCTTCTTTTGCTGCAGTTCCAAAGTGTGTTTCAGCCTGTCTATCTGTGATGACTGAAAATTCATGATAATTTTCATGTTCTGACTTGTTTGTGGCTATTTTATGGCCATTCACTAAATATTTATTTGTTTTACTTCCCTGATGCTATGCTTTTGGAAACAGTGATGACATCTCTGTTTCATTTTACAGCTAAGGCAGAAGACATTCTGAGCTTTCTTTAAGAAGAATTGGTCTCTGCTGTACGATTCTTCCTCTTAGCACCTTTCTATGCAGTCTTTTCTAGGCTAAATTAATCTGCGGAGTATGAAAAACTAGAAATGACATGGTATTTTAGATAATATCTCTACAGTGTCTTGTACACTGTGTCTAGAATTTGCTAGAGTTACATCTTCTGGTGCTTTTTTGAGCCACAAACGTCCTGTACATAGCTGTTCATATCATTAACCTGTAGTGAAGTAATGATAAAAATCCTGAGGTTTGAGGGGGTTTCTTTTCCTCCTGTCATTTCAGAATCATGGGTTTATTCATATCTCAGGTTCATGCCACTTGTTTTACTTAATTTTCCTGGTTTCATTAATTTTAGACTGCTTAATCACATTTGTAGTATTAGACTTCAAGGTTAATAAATTCTCTCTGAAAAATAGTATGGTGGCTTCTGAATTCACACAATTTACCACCTTCTGCTTTAATGGGAAAATATTTCTTGGACCCTGACCGCTAAGTTCAATAAAATTATTTTTCAGAGTAATTCTTAAGGAATTGTAAGAATTCTAGTAGGACTTTTATCTCTTGGACAGTTAACCTTTCAGCATGGTGTATTTTTCTCTTTTTCGTAGCTGTTTGAAAATTACTGTATTATCTTCTTCAGCGAGTCAGTGATTCCAGTCTTGGTGTTGCAGCAGGAGTGAAGGCCAGATAAATTAAATCTCTTAATTTTCCATTGGCAATTGATTCAAAGCAATTGGCTATGTGGGTATGGTAAACCTATGTATAATTCTGTCCCATTTGTCAGATCTCTTTTGGGGGGAAGATATCTTTCTACAGTATGTGCAGAATTTCACAATAATTATCCGTGGCTATTTGTGCCACAAATTTATTTTAAAGATACCAGTGTCCTCTGTCTTCTAATAACATGTTTTACTGATATGATACATTTCATGTTAAACTGTGTAGGATTAAATAATTTTCATGTACCATTTTTGTTATAGGTCTGAAATGGAAATCTAGTGAACTCCCCTTTGTAATACTAAGCTAGTGTTTATTTTCCCTTGTAACTAAAAAGATTTTGTTTCCATGCCATCATTCACAAGCCATTTTGGTTTTGATCTATGATCAGTGTCTTTATCAAAAATGGTGGCAAAATTTAAATGTAGATTTGTATGTCTGATATTTTCAGTCTCCTCTTTTTATGTGACTAAACCACTGCTTGACTATTGTTTTGATTTTGGTTTGGGGGGATCTTTTGCTTTTTTTTGGGGTTGTTGTTTCTTGAAGCCCAAATTGTGTGGACTTTTCTTGTTTCTACCTATTATTGCCATTTTTCCTGAATTTTTAAACACCAGTTGTTGTTTTTTTTTGTCAATTCTGTTTATTCCTATTAGCAGCTTTAGTTGTTATTTATCTTGGAATGTTCTTCTATAAAAACAAAAAAGTTTTGATGGCTAGATATTGAAGATATAAATCTGTTTTCCAGTGTAGTTTGAAAGAATTCATGTCTTGTCTCATTCAGAACCTTGTGATTTCACTACTAGTTCAGTTGCATTTTCTGTTCTTGCCTCTTCAAAATACAGAATTTTAATTACAGAGCAGGTTTTGTTTGTTCAGCTATTTATACTGAAGGCCCATACTATTTATTGAAATGGAATCTAAAATAATAATTGTGAAATCAGTGGGAGTTCAAAAAGATATCCAAGCTGCTTCCTTTCCCTTCTAGAGGATCAATACCACAGCCTACTTTTTACAGACAGGCTAAATTTAAAAATCCTCTGGCAATGTAGGTTCTGCAGCTTGGCAAGTTGTACAAAGTGTTTTGTAGTGTTTGGTGTTCTCACTGTACTTACTGTACAGAGCTGGTCCTGATATCTGAGGTGAATTTTGCTTTCTGAAGCTTATTCTGTGCACGATGGGTGAAATACTGTTCTCTTAGAGAGCTTTATGTATTTAAAACATGCAGTGCTGTATTCTAAGTCTCTTTCAACTTATGATTTGTGGACGAACAGCAGGAGAGTTTTCCACTTCTCTGTATGTTGGTGTTTGTTTTCTAGGGATTTTTTTCATTTTTTATAGACCTTTAGTAGGTCAGGCCTACAAAAGAGAAATACAGCAAAAGGGTTAATTAATATGTTTTTGCAGACACTTCTTCTGCTTATTTATGCCAGTGTGGTGATTACAATATTGTTCACTCATGTTTTATTTGGGATCTGCTGAAATCATTAGATAGTTATTGTTCCATCTTTTTCCTGTAAGAATAAAGAATAAGCTGACTGGTCTATGTGATGTTTTCTTGTTTCAGTAGCTGGTAAGGTTAGCTGTCAATTATACCACCCAGGAATATTTGGATGATATAGTTATGGGTCTTTTGTCCTGTTATTAATACTAGGATTTATCCTCCAAATGAATGTTTCCTTTCATCTGGAAGTTTAAGGTCTGTTATGGTGATATAATTTAATAGGTTAACATTGTAAGGTTCTTAGTTGTCATACTACAAAAAGTGAAATTCTGAAAATTCTGGGTTGTGTTTCTAAATTAGGAACTGTTGCACAGTTACTATTAGCTTTAAAAACAGTTTAATTTTTAATATTGTTATGTCCAAACCCATAATTTAAGATACCAGTAATATTAGAAAGCCTGTTTGTTCTCAATTATTTTTTTAATCTGAAAAGGGAAAAAATGCTCTATTGTGAGTAGCAACATACTCAGCGTGTTTTCTGACAGTTTTTTGAAGCTGGACTGTGGGTTTAATCAGACATCGCTGCTTAGGTGAGCAAGCAGAGCAGTAAAAAGCAGCAGGAGTAGCAAAGTAAGTAGTATCCTCTCTTGATATAGATGGAAAAGGATAGGCCAACTATCAGTGATTTTGCTCATTTGAAGCTCAAATACATGAGTATGCTCACCCTGTGTGTCTTAACTTCAGAATGGAAACCATTGTATTTTTATGGCTATGTCATCAGGAGATCAAAATAGAGTGGAGTAATCTTTATCTCATTATGCCATTCAAACATTGGTATTGTTAAATATTCAAAGATATTACTATTTTCATTTTGCTTCTACTACAGTAAAATGAAAACCTCTGAAAGTGAAGAGAAACAGAGCCCCCATAAACTCACTACAACTACTGTGCCTTGCACAGATGTCTCCAGTTTAGTTTCCCCTGACATCATCTGACATCAAATAGAATATAAGGATGCTGCAATCTACTTACTCACAATGCACTAGTATCACTGAGGCTGTTTATGGTGCTGTGATCTGTCTGGAGAAATAGGATTCTGGTCATAGAATTTTTTTTCTGTTCCATACTGTAGAAAGGGACTGGAAGCTACTGCCCTTTGACTGTCCCATTTCTCTGAGAGGGAAGGTCACAAATGTTATTTGCAAGACATTTAAGTATTTCAGAGACAGAAATTGCAAAGCTGCTGTGGTGGATTCTTTCTCAGAATATATTGAACAACCCATGGAGGTTTGATTCCGAAAAGTCTCAGCATATTCTCTTAATGGATAAAAGAAGAAAATGAGGAT